TGTGCCTGCATGCCACAACTGTACACACCAATGATAATAATGACTATAAATGAGCCATCCTCAACTAAATGTTTTCCTTTAAAAGAGTTCCCATGGTCATGATGTCCCCTCACAGCAATGAATACCCTAGCTAAGACACCATCTCTTTTGCTCTAGTAGCCTCCTGTAACCTCCTTGGAACCTGTCATGTATCTCTTGGTATCTTTGGCTCCTTAGGCCTGCTAACTGTCATGAATACCCAAAATGTCAGCATCTCTCTACTAGGACACTTACCCTCTTCTGCTGTGGGAACACTCCCCTTTCCAAAAAGCCTCTCCCTATCCAACTGTAGCACAAATCTTAAAAGGTCTTACTAATAAAAACAAACCTGAAGCCAGGTATTGATTGGGGTGAATGTTGGAAGATCAGAGAAGCAGAACAAGCCACAGCCACCTTACCTTGCCAATTCCCCAGCTGATCCTGTTTCCTCAGACTGGAAGCCTCTGAGTCCAGAATGAATCTCAGCTGAACTGCTGCTAAAAGCCTAAAAGCTTAATTAGCTCTAGTTCCTGGTTCTCACACTTTATATACCTTTCTGCTTTCTGTCATCACTTTCTGGGATTAAAGGCGTGAGTCACCAGGCCTGGCTGTTTCCAGTGTGGCTTTGAACTCACAGAGATCCAGATGGATCTCTGCCTCTGGAATGCTAGTATTAAAGGCAAGTGCTACCCCTGCTTAACCTCTATGTTTAATATTATAGCTGTTCTGTTCTCTGACCCCCAGATATGTTTATTGGGATGCACGATATATCAACCACATCCACCTCTTCAGCCATTTTCTCCTCTACCTGCTCTAACACCTCATATTTTCTATAATGGGTAAGAGTCATCCCAGAGTTGTTTTCTTTGTCTTTGCTAGACTAAGTTAAAGGGTACATTAGTGGGCCAGAAAGTGATGTATGCTGAACAAAGTCCCTATCACATAGTGAGGGAGGCCTCTCTGTGACTTTGGACATATCTCTCTAATAAGTGTCTCAGGCAACTTGGGGATGCTGTGGATTAAGATTCTTGTCACCATGACACTTAACCTTCTCTCTCCCTCCATTTCACACCCCAACATGTTCTCAGATCCATCCTAGCTTTTCCTTGCTTCCCACTGGTGTTACCTGTTCCAGCTCTTCCTTAGCCACTTGTAGTGGGTAGTCATTCCAGCTTGGATCTGGAAGTTCCAACCCCCATTGAGACTCTGGCAACTGTCATGCCTACGAGGCGGGGCCAGGGGAGGTGCCTGGAGACCTGAGAGCTGGATGGGCCAGTGCTCTCTCTGTGCGCTCTCTGTGCTGGGACGCTGAATGGTGAAGGTGGACTGTGCAGAGCTCCAGAGAACACTGCTGGATTGTGATACACCTTCCCCAGACCCTGCGACCTACCTATTACTTAATTTGTGAGTTACGCCATTAAATAAATATCCTTTTAACTACGTGGAGTGGCCAAAATAATTTCTCCATATCTGGCGCCCAATGTGGGGCACGAACCCATGACCCCGAGACCCCCTGAAAGGTCTCTGATGACACCATGGCCCAGATGATCCAACATCCAGAATCATTTCAAGGCAACTGGCTCAGATGATACAGCCTCACGGACTACTCCATGATCCT